GAAGGGGGGGGGGTGGGCGGGACGGAGTATGTGTAAAGTATAAACCATTAGGGAAGTATGACTTTCCATGTGAAGCGAGATCCACTTCATCTTCTCACTGCTTAGGGACGTCTGACTTTCCGCACAAAACAAGATCCACCTCACTTTCACCCTTATTCAGCGATATAACGATTTTTTATGCGAGTGGATCTTGCTTCGTCTGGAAAGTTAAACATTTCTAGGCAGGGGGGAGGGAGTAGAAGTGAGGTGGATTTCATTTGGAAAGTTAGACGTCTTTAGTCAGGAGGAAGTGGAGTCAGCATCGCTTTGCATGGAAAATCGGATGTCTCTATGCAGAGGGGGATATGTGATGGATCTTGTTATGCGTAGAAAAATATCGACTGCTCTTATCTGATTTTTTATGCAAAGCGGATGAAATAATTACTAACTTTGAATTAACTTTTTAACAAATAACGAACAATAGCTAAAATCTGTTGAAAGTCATTCAGGGTCATGAGTTTGATAATATATGTCAACATCAAAGTCATCGGGGGAGAGGGGGGGAGGGAGGGAGTCCCCTAATCTAAACAATTACCAAATTTATTAATATGGAACGTATTTAATATGATGAAAATTGAACTGAGTGTACATATTTTTCAAAGAATATTTTTCAAAGAATTTTTGAATATAAATTTTTATATATAAACAAATTATATATAAATCATAATATAATTTTTGTTCAAAATAAACTTAAAAATAAACTTTTTACTAGAAATGTAATTAATTTTTTGAAAAATGTATGTTACTATTAATATATGTACTATAGAACATTCTGTGTCATGAAGACTTATGTATCAGCAGTTTCTGCTTAAAGACAGACTAGATATTATTTGTAAAGGGATATTAAATCGACAATGCAGTAATTTTCTCAATAATCTAATATTTCTCAGTTCCGCACTAAAGTTGCATTTTCTTATAAAGACTATTTTATACAATCGAGATCAAAATATAAAATGATCATTATAAAAATATAAAATGATGCTTCGATTTTTTTAACTTCTACTTATTTTCAACATGTGATATCTTATCGAGCATCTATTCTTTGTGACTACATAAGGAAGAAATAGATATCAAATGAAAATAGAAATAAGAGAATGTTGAAGCTAGAAAAAATGTTCCTGTATAAAATTATCGTTATAAAATTACAATTTATCTGTTTCTTTTTGTATATACGTAGAATGATGTTTTTAATCGCTCCAACTTACTCCGCTCTTACTTTAAACTCTTATTCGAAATAGGAGTCGACTGGAAATCTTTGACAATTCCTGCGTGCCTGCCCATCACTACTGATTACTTCCCAGATAAACGGAGTTTACAAAACGATTACGTTGTGTCGGACTACAATCTTCTTCCAGATGATGTTAACGCTGATTTTGCTCAACAACGAGCAATATACAAGAAACCGCTTACAACTGTCGAAGTATTTAAAGAACTGGTCTCACAGCGTTTGGCACAAGTATAAATAAAGCACTTAGTTTTATGTACTTTTATGTAATTATATCTATATGTGTTTTGGAATAATCACGAAGATCATATTATATATCAAGGGTTTCCAGCTAATTATTTTACCATCACTTAACAAGAATCAAAGTAGCGCCGCTGGTAGCAATACTGTTCCAGCGATTAGTACAGTAATGCGTGGCAGACAGACTGAATCCGAACCTAAAGAGGAATATCTACTTAGTATTGGAAGAATTTTTCATAAAATATCACTGTTTGATAATTCTATAACAGTTACAAGATACCGTCCACGGTAAATATTATATAATTATAATTTATAATTTGATATTGAAATTGTTTATCAACTAATTAATTGCATTGAAACTTAGTACATCTCTTTATGTACTTAATTGTTAGTTTTTCAACCGTACGTTTCAAAATCAATTTTGCCGATGATTATTATTTAACATCATTTTATAATTAAATTAAATTATATGTATACAGTTTATTTTATTTTCTTGAATATAAAACTTTTTTAAACTTTTTCGAAAACTTTCTAATGGATACATTGAAGATAAGATATAAAACTTGTATTTAATACGTAAAAAACCATGTAAATAAATTTTAATTATAATTAGCGTTTTTCCAATAAAACACATTACATAAACACATAAATTCTAACATACAACAAATATTAATAATAATTATATTTGCAGGCACCCTTATCCACCCTTTAATATTCACTATCAATATCGATTTCATGCTCCGCATCATGATACGTATGAAGTCTCACGAGTGTCTTTTACCACAGAAAAACTTGAGACCTATAACTGGAATTATCTGGACCATTACATTTGCACACGAGGTCATACTGATTTTGCTTTAGTGGAAGTGAGTCGATTTTCAAAAGTCTGGTTTTTTGTATTATTAAGATAATACTGACTTAGATGTTTCATTTTATTTTAGGATCTTAAATATATTTTCTTTCAGGCTCTCAAATATTGGAGGTTTCGAGTATTTCTATTACCATATAATAATCCTGCGACTCGTAAAATTTTAGAAGGTTCTCCAAGATGCGATATATACACTACGCTTAGTAATGCTGAACAAGCATCATTGATGGACGGTTTTTTGCGCTTTATCGAGGGCTGGCTGAACAAAATACGACGACCGAATCCTAATAAAAACTGGGTAATTTTTTCCTTTTTGTATTTGTTATATATTTATAAAGATAAATTAGCGATTCCCAAATTATTATTTATTTTAAATGTAATTATTAATTTGACAAATAATAGAAGACGTTTCAAAAAGTAGTTGCATTATAAGTAGTAACAAAACTTTATATTAAAAAAATATTGTCTATTTTTTTAAATTTTCAATCTTACAAGGGGAATATTAAGATAACTAGTCTTCGATTTAGCTGAATTATATATATATGTGTGTGCGTGCGTACGTGCGTGCGTGCGTGTACATATATAATACATTCCTTACATATATGTATATCATATTTCTTATTATTAGGGAATGGAAGTAACTCATTACTTGTGACAAAGTTACAGATAGAAGTTACTTTTTTTAGATAACTTTACTGATAACTGCAATGGTAATGTAGTTACATTTTTTTGGTAACGAATTTTACAGTTTTATACGTATTTTGTACACGATTGGACACGGTTCAATTGGACACAAGTCACTCATAGCGCTTAAGACTAGAAAGATGCCCTAGGCATCCGTCTGCTGCGATTGGTGATCTATTTTAAAAAAATAACGGAGAAGTAACGAAATTACTTTCTCAAGTAATGGTAACTGTAATGAGTTATTTTTAAAAATCGGTAACTTATTACTTTTTCTACTCAGTAACGAATAACTGTAACTTGAGGGACATAACTTGGGTTAAGGGTCGTTTATAGGACATTTAACACCGGTTTTAACTAAAACGGTTTTACCAGTGAGTGTAAACGTAGTCACAATAGGTCTGCTTTTTATTGCTGCACTCTCTGAACTGGTGCAGACAGGGCAATAAGTTGAAGTGAAACAAATATATATATATATATATATATATATATATATATATACGAGTATATATATATATGTTTTACTTTAACGTATTGCCCTGTCTGCACCAGTTCAGAGAGTGCAGCAATAAAAAACAAACCTAATTACTGCTTTGTCAACCATTTTGAGTCATCGCTCAGCATACGTATACACATAATTTACAGATCAATATAAATCTTTTTTTTCTTAAGTTTTGATTCCTTTTTGCAGATTTATTCTTACTGACTGGTATATTAATAACATGTAAATATTTAAATGCGTTATTCTCGCGAATGTTTGCAAGATGCATTATATAACTTTAACGGGTTTTCTACAATAAGTTATTGCCTAAGTTTTAAGTCTTAAGCTATAAGAAATTGGTCAATCATAATCGATTATCCTTTTTACATTCGACTGTGATTGATTAATTTCTTATGACTTAAGATTTAAAACTTAAGCAATAGCTTATTATAGAAAGCCTATAACACGAATTAAGCTAAGAGCACAGACTCTTACATAACACATAACGCATAAAGCATAAGAAGATTAACCAATGAGATCTTTTATGGAAAGAAAGGAAATGAAGGGTTTTGATTGGTTTATTTTCTTATGGATTATGTGCATTACGCAAGAGTCTGTGCTCCTCACTTTAATTGAAGGGTTGAACACAGGCACGCACGCACGCAAACACACTACACTCAAAAACACAATTTAGCTAAAACGGAGACTGCTCATCTTGATATTCCTCTTGTTAGTTTGTTTAAATTATCAGAGCTTTGTTGTGTAAAACTTGAACATATGATATTGATATAAATCTTTTTGGGACATCCTATTGTATTTACAAATATTTTAATTACAGTTATTCTATTCTATTACATAATATTTATTTAAAGTTGCTTGATAGTTTTGTTGTAAATTATGCTGTTGAGGAGATATGTTCTATTTTTTTTATTTCACACATACAATATTTAAAAAACAAAAAAGATATAAAAATATTTCACGTATAAGAGTGATTTTCATAAAATTGGAATTTTTTTGTCACACTTTTAAATACATTTGAATACGTTAAATTGTATTCTATTTTCATAGAAAGAGATAATTCTTTATAAAAACAACTCAAATGACCTTAACTTTGACATATGTTGTCAAGTTCTTGATCCTGAGAAACTTTGTTTTAATAAGTAGATGGCGGTTTCTTATAATTTTTAAGATATTTACGGTTAAGGTTCCACTCACTTTATATTGAATCGTGATGTTATAAGTGAGAAATGTGTCATAAGCGACACATTGATTTTTCTTGCATGCTAAATTTATAAATAAAGAGAATTTGGATGAAATGAAATGGTGAGATCGCTTCAAAACACTTGTAAAAATGGACGAAAACTATCCTTATCTGCCTGACAGTCAGTAAAAGGCGCATAAAGTGCGTTTACTAGTTTGTACTCAATGCGTAGTCTATTTTCATTTTACAAGCCTTTTTAAACTCTTTACTGATTATCAGGGAAGACAAGAAGATTCATTCAAATTCTGTTTATTTACAAATGATATGCAAGAAAAATCAACGTGTTATTTCTCGCTTATGATTCAATACGTCACGATTCAATATGGCTGAAGTGATTACTTAGGAGCCTTAAAGTGTGTAATTTCAATAAGAAAAATTTAGTTATGGAGAATAAACTCAGACGATTTCGACCTTGATGTTGTTGCTCATGAACTTGAGCAACTTTTCTTTCATATCTAGGTGATGATCTTTCATAGTTTCTGAGATTTAATCGGTTCTCGATTTACGGAAAAATTGTGAATCTATATAAAATCTCACTCTTTACATCCTCGCTTATGACGGGTAATACAGACTCTTGTATAATGCATAATATATAAGGTAAGAAATTTGACTAATCAGAATTCTTTATTTCATGAAAAGGAAAGAAACGAAGGACTTTGATTAATTAATTCTCTATATTCATTTCATTATATATTATGTATTATACAAGAGTCTGTGCTCCTCACTTAAAGATCATGGCACACAAAAAAAAACTTAAACAATAAGACAAGCAGTAAGGAAATCAACTACCTCGTCCATAACACCCTTGTTCAGCTGGCCCCATCACCATGTCGAAATAAAAAACCGTATAGCTTAGAATTTGGAGCAATTTATGAGCTTCCAAACCTCGCAAAAACAATTTTTGAGTTTGTCCCGGTTAACAGGAATCTTAATTTAAAGCTGGGAGTCCACTCAGCCTCTTCCCCACTCCTTAAAATTAACAATAGGAAATCGCTCCTAGGCTCAGAATTAGGAGCTCTTTATGAGCTCTTAAATCAGTGCTCTTTCGATTTTTAAGCTCCATCCCTTATCTCTAAAACAATTCCAAAATTAGTCTACACTTAAGGGGTAAGTATTGAAAATAGGACTACATCTAAAACTTCATTAATGAATATGATTCTAGCATAAATCTGGTACAAAAATATATAATCCTTAATTTTTGAGTTACAATTCTTTAGCAGAAAACTATTTCTTGCCCTTTTCACGCAAGAGAGAACCGTTCCAAATGTTCCAAAATAGGAAAATAAATCATTTTATAATAGGAAATTATCTGCTGATTTAGAAGTTTGCGAAATACACACAAATCGATTTTTGAGTAATCCCTTAGCAGGAAATCACTTCCTGTCCTTTTAAGAGATATTTTCAATGACTTATTCTCTTGAGTGTAGATTAGTTTTGGGATTGTTTTGGGGATAAGGGATGGAGCTCGAAAATCGGAAGAGCACTGATTTAAGAGCTCATACGGAGCTTCTAATTCTGAGTCTAGGATCGATTTTCTACTGTTAATTTTAAAGAGGGGGGGCTGAGTGACTCCCACCTTTAAATTAAAGGTCTGTTTTCTGTGGCTGAACCGGTGTACACTTTTGGAATTTAAAGTGAAATAGGTGTTTCACATGTTTGATATTTGTCGAAAGCGAGAAAGAGACTTCTAGTGCAGTCTAATGCAGGAACAGAAAACAGACCAAGATTCTTGCTAATCGGGACGAGCTCAAAAAATTTTTTTTGTGGGGTTTGGAAACTTTAAATTGCTCCAAATTCTGAACTATGCGTTTTTTTATTTAGACACGGTAGGAGAGGGGGGGGGGCAGGACAAGGGTGTTCATAACCTTGCTTTAAGAGGCCGTAGGCTGTAAGAAATTGATCAATCACAATCGATTATTTTTCTCATATTGAATTGTGATTAGTTAATTTTTTAAAGTCTCTTTATGGTCTCTTAAAGCAAGGTTGTGGACAAAGTAAACATGATGCA